CCTGCTCCTGGGGGCACGGATGGGCCTGCCTGACCACCAGCTCGTGGCCGGCCGGGCCCTACAGCGTCCTCTGGGGCACCACGGGCCTCCAGCAGTCTTAGGCCAACAGGGACCCACAGTCACCTGGGGGACAGACAGCTTAGCGACCTATCCTGCCACCAACCCAAGGCCAGCCTGACGGTGCCTGGAAGCACCAAGGACCTTCCAGCAGTCCAGGGCCAGCACAGATGCCCAGCGCCCGCGTGCAGGACAGAGCTGCTGGACAGCTCGGGGCCAGCCCGGAACCCCAGCCTGACCAAGAGGTGAGCACGGCTGGGAGGGGAGCGCGGGGGGGAATAAACACTGACAAACACGTGTTGCCTCCTGTCTTGTCTCTGCCTTTCGTTCCTGTTCCGCCCCTCCTTCTCTTACCTGCCTTCCCTGTCTTCCTTTCGTCCACCCCGCACTGTGACGCTCTGTGCCAGCCCACTGCCCACCAAATAAAACCCAACCCAACAGCAGTGACCCCACCTCTTTTCCAGCAGAATCCTTTATTTGCCCTTACTCCCCACACTCCTTGTGCAGAGCAGGCTCCAGCACTGTTGCTCACTTCTTCTTCAGGAGCTCCGTCATCTCTGGCACCGCCTGCAAACACCAGTGCCAGGGTAGCACGTGCTTCCCTTCTGGCACCAGCCTTCCCCCCAAAACTCCCCGTGTGCTGCAGCCACCCCCTCGGTTCCGCTCCCCACCCTCCCAGCCCTCATGCCCAGCACACCACTCCAGGGGCCGTGGGTCACCCCAGCTCACAGCACTCCCCACTTGTCTCCTCCTGAATAAAGCCTCTGAATTATTTAAGAGAGCTACATTTCCATTAGGTGGAAATAATGCATTCGTACAAAATTTATTAAGGAAATTGTCTACATGGTGTTTCTTCGGAATGTGACTCTGTCTCCGGCTTACGGAAAGGCCCGTGCTGGCCGTGGAGCCAGCGGGCACTAGTTCAGGAACGGCATTAAGTGCTGGCAGAGTTTCTGCCCACGCCTCTCCACAGAGTCACCACAAGCTCTGGCCAGTCACACGTGTGGGCGTACGCACACATGGGCCATCAGCATGTTGACATGGACTGCCTCTGTTTTCCCAGAGAGAACTGCAACTTCCTCGTGGGCATCAGTAATGCAGTAAGCCCGGGCAAAAATAGACACTCTGACTACTAACTCTGTTCTTCCATACTTAAAAATACATGTAAGCACCTCTCTGTGCACTTATTCCTCAAAAGGGTTATCTTCAGAATAGAGGCAGGCTGGCCGTGACATCCACCCAACACACATGACATGAAAACAACCAAACAACCCAAAGCAAACATCCTCACAGAGCTAGTGTTATTGAAAGTCATCCTGTGCATCTGCAAGTTTAGCCTCACCTGAAATAAGTCTGCCACTAGTCCGTAGTCAGCCACTTGGAAAATTGGAGCTTCTGGATCCTTGTTAATAGCAACAATGGTCTGCAAGCAACAGCAAAGTACGATGTGAATATATATGTGTGTGTGTACGTATATATATCTATGTACATGTATATACACATTGATTATCATCTAGGGTTGTGTTACAGTGATAGGCTTTATCCAGGGATCATGACGTAAATTCTCTACAGACTGGAGTATGTAACAAACATTTTTTTCTTTCCACCTCAAAAACAAACAAAACCAAAACCAAGCACTTCCCAAAAACTCCCTTCCCTGCTTCACTGCGTGTGACGGAGCTATCCTTCCCTATCGAACAGAAACTCGAAAAAAAAAATTATAAAAATTACCTGCAAGATCTAAGCCATACCACCACGGAAGTAACTCCTGAGGTTGCATTTAAAACAAGTAGATTAAGGCCATGCCTAGTCTCTGTACTTACTGGGGGACATATCCAGTTTGTTACACAGTGGAAAAATGCAAATTATCAAAATCCCAACACAACGGTCTAGAAAATGTCCTTCTTGGCTTTAACTCTGCCTTAGATCGTTCTGTACATGTCTGTGACAGCTTCCAGCAAAGTAAGCATGGATGTCCTCATCAGGATCTACAATAGGATGAGGAGCCCTCCATAAAGGAGGGAAAGGAAAAAAAATATATAAAAAAAAGACAACAGCTCATACGATGAACCCTAAACTGAGGGGAGGCTTAACCCACAGCACTCCGATACTGCTTTCCCACCAAAATACTGCCAGCATAAACTCTGATTCCAGGCGACCAGAACGCTCAGGACAGCTCTAACTCAGCCGCTATTCACCTGCCATTCCCAGGCAGCCAGTTCACATGTGTCTCCTTTCCTCCCTCCATGGAAATGTACGTGTCCTACAAAATTAATAGCTCAGTAGCATATGCCTAGTGGCAGTAATCAAAGATAAAAGTTTGCAAATCCTGTGGGTTTTAGGCCCACAGAAATGCTTTTTTCCTCACAAACCATTTGTATCTATTTGAAGCTGCTGCTGCCTTCCTGCCACCTCCTAAGCAACAACCTGCAGGTATTCCAGTAACGCTTCCTCCAAAACATTTTTCCCTGAAGTTTTATTGTTTTTATTTCAGTTACCCCACCCGTAAACGCAAGCCTCCATGGATAATTCTAATAAAGACTTCAACTCTGAGTGGCACTACCCCACCTTGCAGAAACTTTCACAGGGGCCTGAGGCCACAGGGGCTAATGCTGAGGACCAGCTGAGGCCAACACTTGGTGATACCTTGGGAGCTGCTGGCTCTGTCTTTACCACAAAAATTAACAAGCTGCTCGCAAAACTGTCTTAAGCTTCGGCTGGGCACCCTAGTCCTTCCTCTGTCTCCATTAGCTAAAGTAACCTTTTAGCGATGAGTTAGAGAACCAGATCTCACTAACTCAAGACTTTCCACGGTAAGAAGCAAAAGCATCACCTTGCTTGCAACAGAAATTTGCAAGTTAAATCTCTTAGAAAGTAAAGATCCTGTAACTGCCTCATGAGGGAATTAAAAATAAGTGAAGAAAGCAACAATAATTCTCCAGGTCTCCTCCAAAGCTGCATTTTCTGCCTTGCTGTGAAAGAACAAATAAATTATACATTTCACTTGGTAGAAAGCATCTGACTAATTTTGGAAAACGCACCCTGAAGTGTAGAAGTTCACAATGCCAGATACCTCACAGTGCTGCGGGAGGACAAGGGACACTCCAGAGAGCTCCTACGCCTGCATAATTCTTTGTAAGAATCTGGGATTTTAGTAACTACACCACCTACATGCTTTGGCAAAAAGGAAAGCAGAACACACTTCAAACACAAATAAGTAAAATTGAATTTTACAATACACACATTTGTTCACGCTAGAAAAACTACAATATATATGAGAAATGAAACTGCTAAGTACGCATCTTGTAAGGAGAGATGAAATTTGTCGATTTCCTGTAAAGAGCATCTCAAAATATCAAACATGGCATTGGAAAAGCCAAAAGCGCAGAGGTTTGGCCGTTGCAGTACAGGAATCTACTGCTGCTCAATATTTTTATATCAAAGAAAATTCTGGCACTTAAAATAACCGGTTCCCAGTATTGCTGGTCATCTGAATTGAGAGATAAGGCACAAGAGAAATACAAACAGGGCCAGATCAAGTTCTAAGCAGCTTTAAATACACAGTTCAGTGGGTGGCTGAAACTAATGCCACCCACCCATCTTTTCCCACACCCAAAACCACAGCTGGAGACTAAATGCCTCAGTACAAAGCGACTCTTAATCCTGTGGCCCATCAGCTACCAGTGGAGTCTGGAGGGAGGCGAGGGTGACCGTGGCAGTGCCACATCAGTGCTGCTCCCGCTGTCTGACAGTCCCTGTTGCTGATCTGTGAGTAGAAGAGACTACGGCAACGCCGCTCCACTAAGACCGGGGAGAATACACAGCTACAGACACTATTGTTCACGCCTCTTAACAGTGACCTTCATCCGCGCCCATCGCTCACCCCTGATTTCTTATTTTGGCCAGCTTTTCCCCACCAAATCGACTAATGCTAACACTGCTCGAGTTCCTGATTTTAGAAGATCGAGGTACCAAAAAGGGTGCTGTATCTCAAACCCTGCTTACATGATTCTCCCCAAAAAAATATTTAAATAATATATGCAAAAAAAAAGAACTAAACTGTAAAAAGCACAGATCATCCTGCCACACAGGCTGGCTCAAGAGGACCATTACCAGTCATAATAACTCATTAGTCTGTCATTGGTGAAACATCAGGATCTGCTTATAAAGTTTTGCAAACCTTTTCCTCAGTTTTATAAGCTATTCAAAGCTCTGGGTTTGGTTTCTGTCAGAAAGCCTACGTTCCTTCACTGGAAATAGAAGGGAAAAAAAATATATATCCTTTTTCTAAATCATTTGCAGTGAACCTGGCCAATCTAGTTTGTCATTTGACAGTATGATTCAGCAGGTAATTCTGCTGCTCTTTCCAAACACTGCACTGTTGACCAAACTGGTAAATCCCATTTCGGATTATTTGCTTTGGCAACTAATGAGTTAAACCTTTTAAAGTTTTACTGCCGTTTTATAATAGGTTTCCATTTGAATGGCTAAATGCAGGAATGTCAGAGACATCTTTTACTTTATGGAATAGTAAGTTCATAATTCAAATTGCACATTATTATGCATGAATTAATATGTCATGCTCTGAAATAAATGCAAATGGAACTATTGTATAGAATTCAGGCATGTGTTGTGCTTTCTCTTAAAAATAAGCAAAGTCAATTAGCTGCTTCTACTTACCACTTTGGTTTGTAGTGTAATGGTTTTTCTACTGCGTTAGATGTGTTGCCACAAGGCTTAGACGACTAGCATGTTTTGAAAAAGCAGGCAAACTGGCAATTTTAACATTTAAAATAAGAAAACTGACCAAAGTACTGATGTGAAATCATTCCTTTCCTCAGAAATCTCTTCTAGCACATGAATCTTTATTTACCTTGCTGTCCTTCATTCCAGCCAAGTGTTGGATTGCTCCAGAAATTCCCACAGCAATATAAAGTTCCTAGAAGAAAACAAAAATTTTTGGTACTCACAACATAGCTTCAGTAAGCTCGCACAAACCTTACTCAAAATCAATTACATGCAGTAGTTTTTACATTACGGTGGTTTTCAACATTAAAGGCAGCTGATGATTGGTTCCCTTCCCCACTTGGGGATGCAGTGTAACTGAAAAAGGAGAATCCCAAAGGAGCATCTGGCAAAGGCAGATGAGATGGGGGGGCAAAGGAAAAAAAAAAAAAAAGAAGTGGAAAAAAAAAAGGGGGGGAAAGAAAAAAAAAAAAGAAATCTGCATCAAGCACAAGATACTGCTCAGCCTGAGGACACAGCAATCTGTGTTACCCATGACTCTGGAGACTCCCAATGCAAATATTAAACAAGATAACCTACCAACGGATAATGCAGTTCCCTAAAGAGAAAACTTAGGCTTTTTTGTTTGAAGCCTCTAGGATCCTCTCAATAAGACAATACATATAAAGCTGAAATTCAGATGTTTAAACCTTTAAAAAGTTTCCCATAAGGCATAATAAAATATTTCAGATACTGAAGCGTGCTCATACACTATACACTCGTAACAATGGTTTCTCTTTATTTACTCCAAAACTCAGTATTCATATGCCCTAAAGCTTTTTCCACCCCATTCACTATCAACTCCTACACAAGAGAAGCAGTGTGCTCCCCAGGTAGGCAACAACACGCAGTAGATCTCTGGTGCTCCCAATCTAGCATCTCAGAGAAACTTGTATTCAAGAGAGATGAAAATTTATAGGCAAACAGACCTGTACTGACAGTTTTAATTAAGAGCAGAAAAGTACTTTTACCCCTCAAGCTGAAAGCCATACAGGCTATAATCCATCCAAAACCAAGAATACTTTGATCTCTGTGACAGTTTTCCTGCCAACCCAAGTCCAAGTAGCAGTCAAACCTGCCCCGATGAGCTCCTCAGTTTTACAGAAGAAAACAAAAAAAAAAAATCTACTTTTCACCAACTTATTCAGTAAGAAGAAACTATAATACACAAAGCTAATTAGCTTATCAAAACCAATTATGAGGTGGTATTTATACATGTTTAGAAAAAACACAAGCTCAAGAACTGACAGTTTCTCTTCTGAAAATACCAAGGTTAGTCCATATTTAAAAAAAATCTAATTCAAGAAAATTTTTTTTGTGGCCACGGAAGGTAAAAGGGTCAAAAAGTGTTATCCCTCCACAATCGAGGATGTGCATTACAGTTAAGAGGCTTTTAGCATAACAGAACAAAGCACAGCTGTGGAACAGGAAGACCTACCAAAGAGTCTGGCGAATAAAGGTGTTCAAACACAGAGAGCATGCTGACTGCTTTTTCCATACAGGCCTAAGAGTCATTTTATCAATTAAAGAAATTAAGATTATTGCTTTCTGATGTTTCTACAGCTACAGATTTCACCCATTACATTGTTCTTTAAATGAGAATAAAAAAAATTTATTATGCTTTTCTACAAAAGCTATCACCTATAAAAATTGAAGGGGAGGGAAAATGGAGCAGGAACAAAGTACTTGCTATTAAAAAGGCTTGCTTTGAAATTGAAACACAGAATCTAGTCAATGTATTTCCACACAAACACACAGCTGTTGAAGACACAGGGAAATTTCTTAGCCTCAATAGCTTTTTACTGAGTAGATTACCATTGGAGGTCAAACCATTTTAACCACAGCTGCAATGTAATATAATATGTCTATATAAGAACTCATGGTAAGAATGTAATATTTTAATTATACCAAATAAAAGAACAGATGTTACAGAAGAATTTCTAACATCATCTAGCCTTTAATACAAGCTCTTTTTAAAAACATATTACTGTAATGTGATTTTTTTTTTTAAAGCAATTCATTAAGTGCCAGTCATCTAGACTTCCAGACACTCTTACCAGTCTGTTTAACATTGTGAAGTTCAGTCTTTGGAAAGAGTCCAGCTAAGCAGGAGCCAGATGCCTACCTATATATGGTATTAAAAAATCTAGGAAAGACAAGGATGTTTCATTTGTAAATCACCAGGCTTGTCTAAAAAGCCTTTATTGTGCATCTAAGCCATGCCCTTCTAGGTTATGTGCTTTTGGCTCTCTGGCTGGCTGGTCCATTCAGCAGGCTGTAACCCAGTACATTACCCCAGCAACGTTCTCATACCAAGACCACACAGGACAACGTGTTTCTTTGCCAAGAGTTCCATACTGTAAAATAAATGTGACTGCTTAAATCTTAGTTTAAATCTATCAACAATTTAGTAGGAGGGACACGAAGGACCCACAAGGTCTGAATGGTAAAGATTCAAGACTGTTCAGTGCTCTCCAAGGAGAGAATTCAACTGGTCACCCAGAGAGGTCACGGGAGACTCAAGATATCCAGACCTCCTAAGATGTTTTTCAGGTAATACCTCTTTTGATGTTTTCGCTGAAATCATTAACTTCTATCATGGCTTTTGCTGAATCCTATCACTTCTACTGTGTTAGAGTTCAAAGTCACGCGCGAGGATGGACTGTAGCCCCAAGCTCTATGAAGTGAGTGAGAGAGGAAAGCAGCTTGGTACCACCAAGTAGCATCACTTCCAACTGCATTAAGTGACATGCCTTGTCACAGCAGAGAGGACAGGAAGCTCTGGAAGGACATCTCAGTTCTTCAGAGCACATCTACACACAGGACCCACGCCAACCACAAATCAGCACGAATGAATCAGAGTCTGGACTGCATCTCTCAGGTGCCGACAAAGATGGCTTCACACCAACTTCGAGTTCTTGCTTTTTGGATCGCTGGAAGCTGCTCTAATTACTGCCGTCAGGTGGCTGATCCACAGCCTACAATTACAAGCACTTACATCAAAATCCAGGACATGGAGTGGCATTTATCAACTCCCCGGTGCTTGCACATAGGCAAGTTTTCACAGAAGGGCTGCTGCCAGAGCTGCGCCACACGACAATGGCGTAGCAGGCGAGCACACAGCTTGCCTACCAAGGGGCTTACTGCACTGTCCGATACAAATGAAGTCCCAAAAGCAATTAAGGTTGAGGGAAGTGAAAGGTTTGGTAACAGAAGGGCATGGCAGCAGATTATACAATTGTCTTGTCTTGCTGCACCTTAATTTCACACAGGAAATAATCACTGTACATATGCCACAGCCATGCCACAAATCTTGGGTTTTTTCACGAAGTGGATAGCAGACATCAGCACAGGATAAGGGACACCAAAGAAGAGAGCTAACGGTAAGAAAGAGCAGAGTGGAGGAAATGCACAGCACGGCGAGTTGCACAGACCCAACAGCCTGAGAGCACGTGAAGCAGAGGGCAGGGAAGCACAAATCAGGAAGGACTTAAAGACGTGCTATTGCAGAAAGGGCTTGGTATGTCAGTAATGGGAACACATGAAGGTGAGAGCATCAGCACATAACATACCCATCAGGCTTCTCACAAGGGCTACAGCAGCAGCCAAAGCTGATTCTGCCTGTGAACTGGCACAAAGGCCAAGAGTGTTTTAATTCACCCTGGCACACAACATCCCCCATGAGACTCCAGCGGGAGCCAGGACTGACACAGATCTCAAAGTTTGTAAGCACAGATTTGCATCACAACCACTCTAAAAAGAAACAAAACTCTGGTGTTATCCTGTTCAAAGGCAAGATTCTAAAACAAGAATCTAACCTGTACTTTTTCTGATAAACATGACTGTGGTATGTACTGTAGAGAGCCATTATATGCTCATCATTAAAATAAAAACATCCCTTGACCAGTCCCTTAACTCTTATTTCTGCTTTAAGAGCACCAAACTTAGACATCAGCATCTACAGCAAGTCCACGAGACTTGGCATGCGTGAACCTGCACAACTGGCTCCAGAATCCGGAAGGCCAGCTCTACACCATCTGTATAAATGTCACAAGAGTGCTACATGGGAATGACTATAGTTACCAATATAACATTGCGGTTATTCTCCTGTGCTTACTGACTCTTCCAATTATTTATACAATAATTTGTGGCATATAAAGGTACTTTATTTTTACTTAGGAGAATATTTAAAAACACCTTAGGCTGCCTTGAGGCAGTTAAGGTATATTTGGGTAACAGAACCACAAGAACAGTTTTTAGTTGTGACTTACAGCGACTTTGAGCGCTGCTCTGAGAGACTGCTGTGCAGCCACAGGTGCAACACAGGAGAGGCACAGTTACTTTGCAAGCATGCCGTCAGCTACTATTGATTTTTATGCCCGTTTTTGAATTACGCTGAAAACCTTCAGTGTACATCACTTTATCATCCTACCAGTGGCATGCTTTTAAACAGTTTAATAAACCCCTTTGGCACACATACTCTTTTTCAAGGCAGCTCAAGACATTTTATTTTCTTTGCATGAGGGAAAGGAGAATGAAATTACAAAATCTTTGTAAAGAAAATTGCTTCATACAAGAGATTCCTTCCAATTACAAGCTATTAACCCAATAAAATATTTTCTGGCTTGAACCTAGTTCATATATATGATGTTGTATATCAAACAATTATCCAGTGTGTACTCCATTGACACAGCTGAGTACGTTCCATTCAAGAAGCACACATTACTAAGCTATATCCCACCTACAGCTTCTTTTTCACTTTAAGAACCTTTGATCAGCCAAGCTACGTAATTACTCCTAAGCGTGGTTAGGGTGGCTGCCGGAGTGCAGGGCCATATAGCAATTTTTTTTTCTCTCTCTAGGGAAAAGCACATCAATTGCTTTCAGCTAAATGCACTCACATATGAATATTTTAGTACAATTTAATGTTTCTGCACCAACCCCAAAGGAGCAGAGCATCAATTTGTGAACACAGTTTCCTCGGAGTTAAAAGCTACACTGGATAATGTAGGATGAAAGGGGTTGTCAATCCTTAGCTTTTTAGCAAGTCAGAGAAAGGTAGTCTGTAAATTCAGTCCCAGCTGCATACAAACAGCTCTCTAAAGTTTGCCACTATAAAGCTACTTTTCAACAATAGCAAATTATCAGAGGAGA